TGAGTTCAATCCCCGGTACCCAAAAAAAAAAAAAAAAAATTGCACCTAAAAACCTTCTCAGTGTCCAGGAAAGAAAAATGGCTTAATTACATTACCCTACAACCAAACTGATGAGTTGTTATGACGCCATTAGAAAAAGAGTTTTGGATAAAATGTCAAAATGCTTTGACATAGCCAAATTATTAATAATAAAGAGAAGGAGAATATGGAATGATTTAAACCATGATTCTAGTTTTATGCTTCTGGAATCTGCATGCAAGTCATGTGTTCATCATTTAGTTGATCTTTGGTTCAGCTTGTGTTCTGAGCGTCTGCGCCCACCAGCCCCAGGGGTCAATGCCAAGACACTGTGGCCGAGAGACAAGCTGTCCTACTGTGGCCCGTCCACCCGGATAGAAGAGCGCATGCTCCTTCAGTAGTTCCTCCAGTAATTATTTAATCACAGTAGAAAGAAGTGAGGTGGCAGAAAAGTACAGCCTATAATGTAAGTTTGTATATCACCTTGTTGCAACAGCCCTGGGCAGTTTTTATGTTCTCTACCTTTCTGTACTCCCCAGATTTGCTACAATTAGTGTCACCTTTTACAGTGACACCTTGGTTCATGAAAGCTTTTGCTTGCAAACAGTTGGGTTCACACACAAAAGTATTTGGCAGAACTTTGCTTGTGTTCCCAAACTCTGCATCAGGTGACGGACACAACCCCAACCATCTTTCCTGCATGAACAGGGACATGGCCATTGTTTCCAGAGTCATGGGAAGAATGAAGTTGATGAATCAAGGTCCTGCTGTGTTGTGTAAAAGTAATAAACTGTGACTAAAAAGAGAAAGGAACTCAATGGGATTTTCAGATTGAAGAAGGCAGAGGGAAAGCAAAATGGATTGGGAGGTAGGAAAGCCAGCCTTAGTTAAAGGACATATTGGGGGAAAAGGAACTAGAATTGGTCTGTGTGTGCACTGCAGGTTTAAGATGCCAGGGGCCAGAGAGATGACTCAGTGGAATAAGCGCTTGCCTGGCAAGCACAAGGGCCTGAGTTCAATCCCTGGTTCTGCAAAAAACAAAGAAAAACAAAAACAAAAAAATCTAAGGTTTAAGATGCCAATGACTTCGAACTTTAGAGACAAAAATATTGGCTTTCCATGGAATCCATGTATCCATCCTATAGCCTTAAGCAGCGTCAAGCCCTAAGATACCTCTGCTATAAACCAAGATGAAATGCAATAGCCTCTGGGGTGTGCACCTGAACCCATGGGGAAGACGGGTGGGGAATGCCCACGAGACAGCACCCAAAACTGAAAGTCCACAGCAGGGGTGTCTCACTGGATCAGAGCACCATGCACGCCAGCACTGGGGAGAAGTGCTGGGCCTTCCTGCATAAAGCTACCAAGGAGACCCCTACGTAAAGCAAAGGCCCTTGCTACCTGTTCACTGGTAAAGGAACCAGAGGACATTCTCAGGGGGACAACATGTGCTCCCACCAGCACACTGTCCACCCCGGCCATGAGAGAGCCCCTTCGGCAGATCTCAGAGACTAGGTTGTCCCAGCTGCCTTGCAATTCCCCAAGGCCAGTGCCATTTGCTACAGAAGATCTACATGCAAATGAACCTAAATCTGTCCCTGTGTGGAGTTCCGGTAATACCAGCTGACTACTGCCAGCCACTTGCCAAGTGGCCCACTGTCCCTTGAGTCTTTACTCCAGGGACATGGGCTCATCCCTGAGGTCCCTGTTCACATTCCTATTTTATCAGTAAAAAAAGTCTGAAGAGCAGAGAAGTCACTTGTTCAAGACCCCATGGCTAAAGAGTGGTGGAGACAGAAGCTGACTCAAGGTGACCAGACACACACACACACACACACACACACACACACACACGTGTGCACAAGGGGACTGTGTGGACCCCACACCCAATCCCATTCAACCACAAAGAGCTCAGCAGAGGCGTTGGTCACCAACAGTTCCGTGTGACCGAAAGCACTTGGAGGCTTCCTTTCCCAGGGGCATCTCTGCAGGTCGTGCTGCTAATGCAAGATCCTGGAAAGAAGCCACATGTGCAAGCTGATGAGGCCACCAGGAGACCCGAGCAAGCTGACTACCTAGGTGACACCTGCTTCACACAGTGCCTTTTTATTGCTATGCAATTCCAGACACGTGCAACAGAAAACTCAGTATCACAAGCTCCTGCTTAGCATAGCACCGAGAGTTCCTGGGCCACTCCATGTAAAGCTGCTTACCCTGGTGCCCCCTCTCTGCTTTATGTTTTTCCATATATATGGAGTAATAGCAATGCTATCTGACGTATATCTGTTTTGCCTGTACCACTCCCAGCCAGAATGCCAGCCCCACGAAGGCAGGGTCTTTGTCCTCTGACCCACTGAAGTGTACCTAGAACAGTGCCCAGGACACAAGAGGAGCTTAAGAAGTATGTGCTAAATAAATTAATGCATAATGACTAGAGTACTAGCAACACCACCTGCCTGATGGCTTGTCCTCCCAGCAGCCCACGGAGATAGCAATGGGAACCATCCCATTCTCCGGGTGAAGAAACTGAGGCTCAGGCAGCAGATGTGTACACTGTCTACTTCCGGGTGACTCCCTTGTTGTATATCACTAGCCCCGCCTCCAAGTGACCCCTGCAGCTGGGCCCCTGATTCCCTTGGCTAGGTGTAACCTGCCCACACTCCAGGTGGACTGTTGCCTCCCCAAGACATGAAAAATAATGAGCAACAAAAGCAAAAGTAAACTGAGTGCGGTGACACACCTATCCTCGCAGCTATTCAGGAGGCTGAGGCAGGAAGACTGCAAGTTCAAGCCCAGCCTAGGCAATTTAGTAAGACCATGCCTCAAAATAAAAACAGGGGCTGGGGAGATAGCTTAGTAGAATAAGCGCTTGCCTGGCAAGCACAGGATCCTGAGTTCAATCCCCGGTACTACAAAAATAACATAAAATAAAAACAGACTAGGTTGTAAGTCAGCATGAAGATCCTGGGCTCAATCTCCAGTACTGGAAGGGAGGTCAAAAATAGACAAATGAGTCTACATCATATTTTAAGAAAAAAAAAAAAAAAAAGGTTTTTGATTGGTTTTTGAGACAGGGTATCAGTGTGTAGCACAGGCTGACCTTGAACTCCTCCTGCAACCCTCCTGCCTCGGCCTCCTGATTACAGGTGTGCGCCACCATGCTTGGTGAAACTTTCAAACTTCTGAGCACTAAAGAAAAGAAGAGGATGAAATGGTAGCATATGAAAGAATAGGAACCGTCTGCAGATGGTACATCTGAGAACTAGCTAGCATCGAGCATGACATGCCCAGCAGGGACCCAGTGCTGGTGGCAGTGGCTAGGAGAAAGCACTCACCCTGTCCCCAAGAAGGGCAGATAGCCTGCCCGAGGGCAGTGACAATGCTGAGAGCCCACCCGGGGCGGGGGTTGGAGGAGGGGCCTGGCTACTCCACACCCTCCTGCTCTGAGCACTCTCCTGCACGGGGTCCCTTGTTCAGAAAGTCCTGGAGCAGAAGGTGGAGCCGTTCTGTCAGTGTGACCTCCCATTCCAGCCTGGTTTTGACCAGAACTCCTGCATCTTGAGAAACCACACAGCCCCAGATAAGCTAGGTCCTGAGCTCTCTAGTCAGAGCTTGATGGGTGCCATGGTTCGGGGTCCACGGTGTTCCCCATCCTCACTGGAGCTTGTTCTGACTCAGCCTTGGCCACACCGGTCCCTACCAATCATCTCTTTTAGCTTTGCAATAACCTGATGGGACTGCGGAGATCATCCCTGAGTGCGGGAAAGGAAACAGCTCAGAGAGGTTGCCTGCCGGACTGCCCCCAGTGGAATGGTCTGTCTGAAGCAGCGGCACATCTTAGATCAGTGACGTTGCTGTTGGGCACCAGCATTCACTAAGAAGTGTCCTGCAGCCTGTCACAGACCTGGTCATCATTGGTCACATACCTGTGCCCAAGCCAAGTTTCTATACATTTCTAGAACTAGGAACTAACTGGTTAAATTGTCTTCCCTCGCAAGGTGTGGTGACACAGGCCTGTAACGCTAGCACTTAGGGAGGCTGGGGCAGGACTGCAAGTGTGACTCCTGCCCGAGCAACTAAGCCAGACCCTGGCTCAAAAATAAATAAAAGGGCCAGGGATGCAGGTAGCTCAGTGCAAAGGCCCTGCAGGCTCAATCCTCAAGACTGAAAGTCATCTTCCTGAATATTCATGACTTAGTTAAAAACGAAAAGTACTCACAGTAAACTTCATGAACAGAGTATCCCCCAAGTTTTTTATGAGAAGAAAATTCAAGACTACTTATTATATCTCTTATAATAATATTTCATATGTGGTCTCTTTTCTGCTTCAAAACTTTGGTTGGAGAACAAAGATACATGCAGACTACTTAAGCTAAGGAGGATGTTCGTTACTAGTTTTGTGCAGAAATTTTGCAATCTATTTTTCCCAATGGCTTATTAGCATTATGAAAAGCTCCTCAAGTGTATGCCTAAGTGAATGGCAGACCTACCTGGTGAACCTTACGGGCACGTTTCTTTTCATTCAAGTTTTGATGCTATAGTGTCCAGCTCTGCCTCTGATTCCCTTGCTTTCCACTTAGGCTGTGGGCCGGCTGCCACATCTTCACTCAGTCATGTCAGCAGAGAGGAAGTCAGGCAACCAGGGAAGCCAGGATGAGCTTCCCATGGCCTGCGGATGCAGCTCAGTGATAGAGTGCTCACCTGTCTTGCAAAGCTTTGGGTTCAATCCTCTGCAGAAAATAATAATAATAATGAATTTTCCTCAACTATTTTTCTTATTGCCCATAATTGAAAAGAAAATCTTTTACATAAGCACATGTTCTCTGACATCTCATTGGCCAGAACTGGGTCATGTGATCACTCTTAAACAGCAAGAGAGCCTGGGAAAGAAATCTAGCGTGTTAATTCTCTACAAAGGTAGGCAAAAGAATAGCTGTGGACTCTTCCTATTCTGAAAATTAGAAAACACTGTCTCTTTTTAGTTTCAGCTCCAGAATTTGTTTTTGAGCATGGGTATCAAACTTACTTGCCTGCGGAAAGCAATGAAAACCAGACTGCCACTGTCATCTCTCTTCCTGCCAAGTCACGAACCAAAAAGCCAGCCACTCCTCCTGTTCAGAAGCGGCTTAACTGTTGCTATCCAGGTAAAGGCAAGATGATGTCCTACAGATAGAGAGGATGTGACATTTAATCAGGTTTTAGGGCCCTTTCTCATGGATTCTTGACAAGCGACATAGATGTCTCCAGACCACCTGGGCATAAACCAGAGCTACACAGCCCGGTCGGCAGCACGCACCCCCTTCCCTGCCTGATGCTGGTCCCTGAGTCATGCGGCCCTGCAACTTATGGTGCAATGGAAACAGGAGACCTTGAAGTTGCTGTAGACATTTCCTCCTGGGGCACAGATACAGGTTAAGACACCTAAAAGGATTTTTTTCTTCTTTACTTTTGTTGTTTAACTTTTTATTCTGGAATAATTTCAAACTTAAAGAAAAGTAACCAAAAAATACCAGCAATTCCCTGTGGACTTTTCACCTGGACTCCCCAAATCTTTCCTGTATTCGTTTTGTCCTTCTTTCTAGATATTTTCCCCCAAAACCACTTCAGAGCAAATTGCAGGCATAAGGGCCAGCCAGATAGCTCAGCAGATTAAAGCGCCTGCTTAGGCAGAGGCAGGGGCCAGGGATTTGATCCATGGCCTGCCGAGCCAGCCCTGCCCCAGGGAGCTGAGCTAGTGAGTGAGACTGGGCGTGGTGGCGCACACCTGTAATCCCAGCGTTTGGGAGGTTGAAAACAGAAGGATCACTGAGTCCTATCATGTAGTGAGGCCCTGTAGACCTTGAAGTAAATAGATTTTTTTTTTAAATTGCACGCATAATATGCCTGCGCCCCTATACACTGTGTATTTTCTGGAGACGAGGGTATTCTTTCATATAACCACAGGATAAGCCTCAATCCAGAAGCTAACATTTATTCATCCTATTATCAAATTTGATGACCTTATTCATGTTTCACAGCTTGCCCTACTGAAAAGAAAATTATTTCTCTTCCTTGGTCAAACCCCTGACCACTTAGGGCACTTGGTTCTTCTGTGACTTTAGTTTCTTCCTATCAGGTTTAAGTTAAGGTTTTGTATTTTGTGAACTGGACATTTCTGAAAAGGCAGGCCAGCCTTGCCTCTGTCTGGGCTTGTCCGGGTTCTCCCTGTGATTAGACTGAGGCTGCACGGTGTGGGCAGGGGGCAAGGGGCCGAGCTGGGCTCTTCTGCCGTGCAGAGGGGTTACATGGCATCGTGTGTGCCGTCCTCGTGCTGATCATTTTTGTCACGTGGTTAAGGAAACTTCTAGCTTTTTCCACTTGAAAGTCACTCCGCTTGCCTTTGTAATTCATTTGCCCTTATGTTTCTGTTTTTTTGTTTTTCAGGTTGCCAGTTCAAGACTGCCTATGGCATGAAGGACATGGAGAGGCATCTAAAAATCCACACAGGTAAGTGACACGTCCCTAGCTACCGGGTCCTGGGTGCCCGCTCCAGACAAGTCACACAGGATAGGATTGCACCTCACAGTTGTCCCAAGAATACAAAGGCAAATTAAATAAAAATAAGACACTTTACATATGACTTGGGTAGAAAATATCCAAAGCAATAAAAATCCAGACATAGAGAGGGTGGGGCAACTTCGAAATAGGAATGTGACCTGTGACAGGCACCGTGAAAACCCACCTGCCAGAGTTAATTAAATGCAAATGCATGTTTTTGTCTCATTTTGAGAAAAAAAGTTTACCTTCACGTGGGTGATCAGGAAAAGGAAGGATGGAGGGAAACAGTAGCAACTTGCTCTATGCGTCTTGGCACTGTGAGATTGATACACAGAGTATGTTATTTTTATTATTTTAAAAGGGAAATTGAATGCTTTTTTATAGAAAGGAAAAGTTCAGTGAACAAAAAAATAATTATATGATTTTCATTTTCATAAACATTATTTGTCCCTTAATTTCTGCCCAGAATTGGTTCCAGGGTTAACCCATCCCATAGGGCTCCAAAGTCTGAGGGTGCTCAACCTCCTTCTAGAAGTGGCACAGAACCTGGAACCTCTCTCTCTCTCTCTCTCTCTCTCTCTCTCTCTCTCTCCCTCTCCCTCTCCCTCTCCCTCCCTCCCTCCCCAGAGATTGAACCCATGGTCTTCACCCTGATCCATATCCAGTCCTTTTCAAATTTTTAATTTTTTTTTTTAATTTTGAAACAGGTCTCACTAAGTCCCCAAGTCACCCCAGATGAATTCATCCCTCCTGCATCAGCCTCGCAGAGGGCTGGAACTGCAGGCGTGTGCCACCATACCAGTCTCTTTCTATATGCTTCAAATCACTTAGAATATCTCATGCAATGGAAATGTGGTATAAATCATGACTATACTATTTTTATTTGTATTATTTTTATTGTTATTATTTGTTTACTTTGGAATATTTTAGATCCACAGTTGTGGGTGCATAGAGGCAGAATCCAACAAGGCCTAGAGCTAGCTCTGTCTTATTTTTAGCACTTCTGCAATATGTTGCAAGGAGAAAGAACGGCTTTTAGGCTGTTTTAAAGTATAAGACACTAGGGCCGACCAGATAGCTCAGTGGACTAAAGCACCTGCTTAGGCAAATGCAGGGGCCAAGGGTTCAATCCCCTGCATGCCATGCTGGCTCCATCCCCAGGGCATGCTGAGACGGTGACTGAAACTGGATGTGGTGGCCCACACTTGTAATCCCAGCTCTTGGGAGGCTGAAAACAGGAGGATCATGACAAGTCCAATCTGTGAAGTGAGACCTTATAGACCCTGTACTAAATAAAAAAATAAATAAAGTACTAGATACCATATGCAAATTATACAGACACATAGCAAGTCAAAGAGCATAAATGTGTGTGAGCCAGGGACACGCTGAACGTGGACTTTGGTTGCACTAATTGCCCAGTCTGAGCCAGCAAGTAGGTCTTAAACCCCTGACCATGCCAACGAGTGCCTTATTCCCCTGGGGCCACCATCCCTGTCTAATCAACCCCACAGTATTGGGGCCTCGGGTGGACTCTAATTCCTCAAATTTTGCATGTCCGATAGCAATATACACTTTAACGAAACAAGGCCTGAAGCTCTCCACGTGGATTTCATGGGTTGAATTTCCGTCATTCAAGCGCAGCATGTTTGTCCCTGAAAGAACAAAATATACTTTAGCCGTTCACGATGACTGGAAAAGCAGAGTGAAAGTGCACAGGAAGGGAACAACTTTATGTCTTACTGTGCGAAGAAACCATGTCATCTCGCCCGACTCAAGCATCCTGAACATCTGCAGGCCACTAGGGGTCCTTTGTTACTTCAGGGAGGAGGGTATACTAATAAGCCCTGGGGCTGAGAGAGTGGCAGAGGTCATGGGGATACACACACACACATACACACACACACACAAGCTGCATAAAAACTACTCAGCTCCGCCATCAACAGGTGTCTGCCGTCCGCTGCAGGAACACACAGTTCAGTGACCCCAGGGATTGACAGGGTGAAAAAATCGTTCTTAGATTTTTTTAATTTGAATTCTAACAATAAAATTATACTCTTTGAGACACTTTTAGATATGCTCCTAAATCCCAAATATTCTAAGATTATAATGGTCCATTTTGGCTGACAACTTATTTCAACATGTAGCCATGGAGGATTTGGCCAGAGTACACATCTGATATATTAAATAAAAACTGAAAATCTCTGCTCGTGGCTGACCTGCTTGCTATTCCACGCCCTGGCATCACGAGCCTTGGTGGTACACCGAGTATCCTTTTAGCGTCGTTGCCTGCCTCCCTGAAAACACATACACTTCCCGTCTTAGCAAGTTCGTCCTGTGGGTGGTCTCCCTGCTTGTTCATTGAACACTGGGCATGCTTGCCTCTCCGTCAGCACATGTCTATGTTCGCTTTTCAATGGCCAAGTAGGAAACTGATGCAGTAATTTATGACGCAACCATGACATAAAATGCTTTAGCCTTAAAATCAAGTTGTGGATGCTTAATAATGTGAAAGGATGATCAAAATTAGGATAAGTGCAAGAAAATTGTCAGTAGGGAAATGGTGTTATAGCCGACCCCCGCCCCCCAAAAAAAAGATAGTCTTGGGTTCTGGTCCAAATTGTTAGGAAATTAAATAAAATAATTCAAAGGGCACAGTGCCAGCCAAAGGAGGTTTAAATTGATGGCAGCTGAGAGGGGTTTTTGGCGCCAAAAAGATACGCATGCTCACATGTGCCAACTACTTGGGAAAATGCACATTGAGAAGACAGTGCCTGCCGGGCATGGGGCTTATGCCTTTGATCCCAGCACTCTGGGAGGCTCAAGCAGGACTGCAGGCCAGACCCAGCATGCGGCATGAACAGCTTGGTGAGGCCTTTTCTCAAAATAAAAACAAAAAAAAAAGGGTTGAGGATGTAGTTCAGTGTAGATAAAAGCGCTCCCCAGCTCGTAGGCTGAGTTGTGAAGCTGTGAGGCTCCTAGTAAGCTTCCAACAAAGAAACCCAAACGGGGAAGACTGCGTGTGTCATGAAGCCGCCCAAAGATGGGTAGGTAGTTGGGGACAGGTGGGCAGCTCTGTCCCAGGAGATGGCTCTGGAACTGCAGGGCCCCTGCTCTGCTCTTACTGTGCCTGCTGCAGGGTGCTGGCCCCATCTGCCCACGCCCCAGGGTCTTAGTTACAGCTGGCAGGAAGCGGAGAAAGAGAAAAAGCAGAAGGCTAGCAGTCACCTCTTATGAAAGGGAGGCACTTTTCCTTCTCTGCTGTTGCCTTGACAACAACCTGGTCAGGGCCTAGCTGCGGGAAAGACCGCGAGAGGTGGTCTGCCGCAGCTCAGCTCCGAAGTTTAGGGGTTGCACGCTCTACGGTGCGTCTCTGCAGGAAAAAGGCAGAAAGGAGTAAGTCCAGGGGGCAGGTAGCTGTTACTTATTTTACATAGCTGTACATTTGCATTCTGGTTGCCTTCCGTTTTAATTAATAAAGAATGCATGTTCATGGCTCAATAAATTATAATAAATAAAGTAAAAGAAGAGACACCCCCCGCACACACACATCATCAGCTGCCTGCCAATCACCCATCCAGCCTTCCGGGGTTTTCTAAGCGTCTTCCGGTGGTCGCGTATTTTATTTTTCCCTACGGTGGTGGCGACAGATCAACGACTCGCTCTGTAACCTTGTTTCCTCGTGCCATTTGTGTGTGTGTGTGTAAAGGAGACAAGCCCCACAAGTGTGAGATCTGCGGCAAGTGCTTCAGCCGGAAGGACAAGCTGAAGACCCACATGCGGTGCCACACCGGCCAGAAACCCTACAAGTGCAAGACGTGCGACTACGCCGCGGCGGACAGCAGCAGCCTCAACAAGCACCTGCGGATCCACTCGGACGAGCGGCCCTTCAAGTGCCAGATCTGCCCCTACGCCAGCCGCAACTCCAGCCAGCTCACCGTGCACCTGCGCTCGCACACAGGTAAGCCCCGCGCGCGCCTCAGGTCCTGTCGCTCAGCGCCGCGCCCGAAAGCCCTGGTCACAAAGTAAGACAGGGACCTGGCCGTCTGTGGCCAACCCTTTGCTTGTGGTTTTGCTTTTCAGCTGCCTAGAAGAGCCTTTTATAGTTTTAAAAAACAAGTGGGGACCGGGGCTGCCGTGCCGGCCCCGCCCCTGGGGCGCGCTGAGACGGCTATTGAGACTGGGCGTGGTGGCGCGCGCCTGTAATCCCAGCTCTTGGACAGCTGTAAACAGGCGGATCACTACCAGTCCAGTCTAGCAGTGAGACCCTGAACACCCTATAGACCCTTCCCCAAAAATAGAACAAAAAAAAAAGTGGGGGGACCATTAAGTTAATAACTTTGCACATATTTTTTTAATTTTTTAAAGACTACAAAATAGTGATAGAAAAAAAAACAGCATTAGAAACGATACAAAATTTCACTAAAAGCAATAGGAATTCAACAATGGTTGCCGTGTTACATGATGCTATCTTCAAATTAGTCCTTCAGATCACCAAAATGTTCATATAACTGTATAACTATTACTTACTGGTGAAGTATGTCATTGGGGAGCTGCAGCATATTAAGTAGTTATAAGAAATGCAGTTTTAATAAACTTCTGCATTGCGGTTGGGCATTTCGGTAATTTTGTTTTGTTTTCAATTTTTGAGAGAGGGTCTCTGTGTGTAGCCTAAGCTGGCCTTGAACTCACAGAGTGGCCCAGTCTGGCTTAAACTCACCATCCTCCTGTCTCAGCCTCTTCGTGCCAGGATCACCTGCATGTCAGGATCACCTTCATGCCAGGATCACCTGCATGTGCCGCCACGCCCAGACATTCAGTGATTTTTTAGGGGATACTCTGTTTAGTTCAGGCTGGAACAGCTTGATCAGAAAATCACAGCAAAGGGTGGAAAGTCGCAGCAAGAGCTTTGGGGATACAGTTCAATGGTAGTGTGCCTGCGATGTGTGAGATCCTGGGTTCAATCCTCAGCACTGTAAAAACAAAAAGCACACAGTAAACTGAGCAAAATCGCTTGTTGATGCTGTTCTGCATAACAACCTACACCCAATCTCAATGGCATATTGTAATAAATAAATATTCAGTGTTCTGCTATTTCAGGTCAGCAGGGGGCGCTGTTGTTGATGGTTCAGCTTAAGCATAGGAGTGGGGCAGGCAGGGCAACCACAAAACTTGGCTGGGGAATCTGCTGGCTGCGGCTAGCCAGCTCCCCACTGGCTTCTCCTGGGGTGGCCTGGCTCTGCTCCCACCATCTCTGATCCTCCCTTCATCCTCTCCCGACGATGGCAGATGTACAAGCTCGCAGGTCCCACAGTCTAAGCCCCCTGCATGCCGCTAGTTGCTCAGGTCTGCAGACCTCAGATTGTCTAAAGCAAAAGACACTGTTGGACCTGTGTCTGGGATGGGATTGAGCTCGCCCACACTGAGAGGTCTCCACAAGGATACATGGCAAAGGTGAGGAACACCAGGAGGCTGAAGAATGGGGGCCACTTCTGCAAAAGCCCACCATCGTGCACATCTTCCTGACAGTTCAAATGCAGGCGCACTGTCCCCAAGACCCCCCAGATTTCATCTAGCCGTAGACCTGGGATTGTGTGACCTCCATCACATCAGGGTAGGGCTACTCTATTTAGAAGCAGAGTAAGAAGACAAGAACCCTGGTCCCCAACATGCACTGCTGAAACAGAGTTGAGATCATTCCAATAGCCCTGATGTTTGGAAGCAGAAGAGTGGAAGGCTCTGGCAGTTGCCACCCCAGAGGATCTCAGGCTCCCGTCCCCCACGGGTGACAGGGCAAGTTCCTTTGCTAGGCTTTGGGATTGTTCCCTGCTCCTTGATGCTGACACACTCTCCATCACCTCCTCTCACCATTTCTGAGGACTGGAAAATGTGCTTCAGAGCAACTTTCTCAGCCTGCTCGCTGCCTCCTGAAACTGGGGAGTTTTCTGCATTAGAGTCTAAGCTAGTGACTGTCTTGCCGCTGGTAGAACTTATCTGTGTGCCAAAAGCCACACCGTTCTTTTGGAGCACTGCTACTCTTTGTAAACTCACGTGTAGGTGCTTTCTTCATATAACATTCTGCGGGTCCCCGGAGGCCTCTTTTCCGGCTAAGGGGATCCACTTGGCACCTAATAATTCCTTGGAAGATTTTAACTGAGTCTTACCCTCAGACTTCTCTTTTTTACTTGGTCTTCAGTCTCAGGCCAGTGCCCTGGGCAGGCTCTTCACTGGCAGGCTTTGTCTTGTTTTAAAGCACTGGCCAGAGATGACTTTGAGGAATACGGCCAGATTCACTGGCCTGAAATGCAAAACTGTATCCAGCCAATCTTTGTCTTTCTCTCTTCTCTCTAAATTCTATGTGAAAAGTGGCCAATTCTCTTTCAAGGTTTTCTTTCTTACGGGTCCCTGGTCATATACAGCTTCTAAAATACTTCCACTGTTCTGCCCAGGATATATGTCTTTACCCAAATCCCAAACTCATTTTTTGCCCCCTAAGTTGCCACCTTATCAAATCGTCTTTTAAGTGACCAAGTTACTAAATCTTTTATCTTCCCAGTTTTAGCAAATACCTGCCATTTGATGTTTGCTGATCAATACGAATTGCCATTTGTTCCACTTCCTCCTGCAACTCACCGCCATATTTTGGTTCCCCACTTGGGCAGCGCCCATTCCTGGATACCCGTGTCTGCATCACACTTGTCACAGTGATGCTGGAGTCATGAAAACCCCATGGGGCCTCTGTAGACACAACAGCGTGCTTTTTCCATTCACGTGTTGAGGAGCAGCTGGGGATTACCTAAGTGGATCACTGCTGGGGATGGCTGATTTTTTTGTTGTTGTTGTTGGGGTTTTTGGGGTTTTTTTGTTTTGGTTTTTTTTTTTTTTTTTTTTTTTTTTTTTTTTTTTTTTTTTTTTTTTTTTTTTTTTTTTTTTTTTTTTTTTTTTTTTTGCATTTTAGGGAAGGGTCTACAGGGTGTTCAGGGTCTCATTAATAGATTGGACTCATAGTGATCCGCCTATGTACAGCCTCCCAAGAGCTGGGATTACAGGTGCATGCCACCACGCCCAGGCTCAGTTGCCATTTCAGTGCGACCCAGGGTTAAGGCCAGCACTGCAGGCCTGGGGGATTGAACTCCCAGCCCTTGTGCCTGCTTCCAGGTGCTTCAATCCACCGAGCTATTTGGCCAGCTCTCTGTAGCTGAATTGGCAAATCTGAGAATCTGCCGGCCAGGGCCAGGTTGTCCACTAACATACAACAGTTGTCTGTCATTTTTCTCCTGGAACCAGTGGGCTAGGCTAGGATGGCCCTCATTGCAGTGCCAAAGCACAGGCAGGTATGCAAGCAGCAACGGCAAGGCCATTCCAAGCCATTCCTTGCGTCCCATCTACCTACTCCCTTGGGCCAAATCCAGTGCCTCGTGGGAGCCTAGTGTGTGCCATGCCGTGTCACACTCCCTTGTTGGGAGAGCGTGATGATTACCTGTGCAGCGGAGGCCACAGCCACCTGGGGGAGGGAGGTAGGAACCTTGGGGACATTTATGTGATCTGCTACCAGTGAAGACATCAGGATGTCTGATGCCCAACTAATTTCCTTCAGAAGTCTCTCCCACCTACGTTAGAGAAGCTGACCTTGGGTGGTTGACACATGAGGATGAACTTATAGTACCATTTTTAAGTTGGCCTAGAAGAAGTATGACTTCTAAAAATTTAGATGTGTACCATTTATGCATTGCCCCTGTGGACTATTCATCTTCTCTTTTGTAACCCTATAATCCACGATACTTCTAAAATTTTAAATCAGCAGGGTTTTGCTCTTGCCTTTCCATTGACTTGCTGTACTACAAACGACAAGTCATTTCAGTAGCAGTCTAAACTCACAAAAATCTGTCAGCTTAACATATTAGTCCCGTATTCACTCAGTACCACTCGTCATGCCCCACTGTGGGCCGGACACTGTGCAGATGGGGCAGTCCCTAGGAAGAAGCACTGTCATTAGCGTGTGAAGAGCTGAGAGTTCAGCAGGATTGTTGGACCGAGAGGTCTCCCTTAAGAAATAAAGTCATGGTTAAAGAAAAATATGCAGGATGATGAAAGGATTTAGAGCCTTTGCTGTAATGTCAGAAAGTGTCCTTAGGCTCTGTGGCTTCACTGTGAGATTTGGCTTTCCTGGATTTGACTTCTGCTGATGACAAGAAAGAAACAAGGAAAGGAAGAGAAGAGCGAGAGTGAAATGTCACTGTAACATAGGCAAAAAATCTAGTAGAACAGCCTGAACAAGAGTTCTTCCTCTGGTATCCTGGACACCTCTCTTTGCAGAAATTCGCAGGTAACAGTTAGGAGGTAAGGGGAAAAAATTATATCTTTAGCTTTACAACCTGTGCCAGTACTTGGCATGTCCTCCGATGGCAAACATGGGCAACCACTTGATAATGGTGATGGGAACCCGTCACAGTAGAAGTCAGAGTTTTCATACCTGTTGCTGCAGCTGGATTAAAGTATTTTTAACATTCTTCTCTATTTAGAAGTTACTATAGACCCATTACTAGATCCTGCTGGTTCAGTACATTAAAAAAATACACATATTGTCATAGCACAAATTTTTCTTTCCATATTTTAATAACTAATTGAATATAATTGGTTTCTTTCGAATTCCTTTTTTGCTATTGTCTTAGTTGATTTTGTGCATTTAAAAGATTATTCTTAGAAGGGTTTCTGTGGGCTTCACTAACCTGCCAACGGGAGGTGATGGCATTAAAAAGGGTTAACAATTTTCTAAGGCAGGAAAAGCCAACTTTCTCTGAAAACAGCCAGATAGCAAGTATCTTAGGCTTTGGAAAGCCATGATGCAGTGCCTGTCACAGCAGTTCCTGTCTGCCATTGCACTATAAAATATGGACATGGTTATGTTCCAATAAACCTTTATTTATAAAACTAGGCTTTGCATGGGATTTTCTAGAAGCACGTTGAACTGCTCCCCACCACCTCTAACTGAATTTATTAAATAGCTTATTATGGTTTTATAAGCTGTATGCCAAAAAGCTGGAACACAGGGCTGGAGATACGGCTCCATGGTAGAGCTCTTGCCTTGCAAACACGAGGCCCTGGGTTTGATTCCCAGCACCACCACCCTCCCAAAAAAAAAAAAAGCTGGAACACAAATCCCAGTTTGTTGAGTGTTTGGGCTCAGAATGAACCCACTTTGGAATCCAGGTCCTGCCACACACTCCTAAATGACCATGGGCGAGATGTGTAGTCTCTTGGGACCTCACCAGCTTCCTCCGTGTCCCAGTGTGGGACTGCTAATAACAGCGCTCACAACCTGAGGATGTTGGCTACATCAAATAAGACAGCTGCTCACATAAAGTGCCTGCCACCCTAGAAGCCACCGAAGATTGTTAGCTGTTTGTAATTTCACTTGCTTAAACAATATTGAAATTGGTGGGAGGTCACCAATTTGCTTGAATTATCAGTGCCTTACATAACTTGGACTTGGCTTTCACTGAGTAAATAAATTCGGAATATCGTGCCCGTTCACATGTTTGCAGTTTCACTTCGCCTGCTCCCTGTTTCAGCAAATTAGGAGTCTGTTTAAAAAAAAAAAAAATCAAGCAGCTGGATTCTGTAACTTCACAAGTAAAGAACGCAGCTGGCAATATGGGAGAAATAAATTTTGCGCAATAAACACGTCTCTATTAATAAAAATCTGCATGAAACATAAGCTGGCGTTTCAAGCGCTGCGGGAAGCTGACCCATTTGGAAACGTGCTGTTGAGGCTGTTGCAATTTGTAACTCAATCAAAATCAGCGGATTATGCAAAGTTACGCAACGGTGAAGCGCTGGCTAGCAAAGTGGCCGCCTTAGCTTTATGAACGATAGCATGAGTTTTCAAAGAATGTGACAGTGTAGTTGCAACTCTTACCTGGGACCATTGTATAAATGTTTTCCCTCTCCCCCACTCCTCTCTCTCTCTCTCTCTCTCTCTCTCTCTCTCTCTCTCTCTCTCTCTGTCTGTCTGTCTGTCTGTCTTTCCTTCTGGGTTTCAAAAGGACGGGGTGGTTTAGGCTCCAGGGAAGAAAGGAAGCCTTTCCCCTCCCCCACCCTCTCCCGGGGCTGCTGGGAGCCGCAGTTAGGAGGTCACCCCTGCCCCTCGCCTGCTTGTAAGAAATTTTCTGGTGTGTGCTTCGGGGGGATCCGCTGTGCTTGTTGCCTGCCTGTTCTTATGGAAACTCACCTTGTGTTGACAGGGGACGCCCCCTTCCAGTGCTGGCTCTGTAGCGCCAAGTTCAAAATCAGCTCGGACTTGAAAAGGCACATGCGCGTGCACTCGGGGGAGAAACCTTTCAAGTGCGAGTTCTGCAATGTCCGCTGCACCATGAAGGGGAACCTCAAGTCGCACATCCGCATCAAGCACAGCGGCAACAACTTCAAGTGTCCCCACTGCGACTTCCTGGGTGACAGCAAGGCCACCCTGCGGAAGCACAGCCGTGTGCATCAGTCCGAGCATCCGGAGAAGTGCTCCGAGTGCAGCTACTCGTGCGCCAGCAAGGCGGCGCTGCGCGTCCACGAGCGCATCCACGGCCCCGAGCGCCCCTTCAAGTGCAGCTACTGCAGCTTCGACACGAAGCAGCCCAGTAACCTGAGCAAGCACATGAAGAAGTTCCACGCGGACATGGCCACGGCCGAGGCGCTAGCGAAGAAGGACGCGGGCAGGCAGAGCAGCCGCCAGGTGGCCAAGCTGGACGCCAAGAAGACGTTTCACTGCGACATCTGCGACGCCTCGTTCATGCGGGAGGATTCGCTCCGCAGCCACAAGAGGCAGCACAGTGAGTACCACGAGAGTAAGAACCCGGATGTGACCGTGCTGCAGTTTCAGATCGACCCGAGCAAGCAGCCCGCCACGGCCCTCGCCGTGGGGCACCTCCAGGTGCCCCTCCAGCCCAGCGCGGTGCCCCAGTTCAGCGAGGGGAGGGTCAAAATCATCGTCGGGCATCAAGTGCCCCAGGCGAACACCATCGTGCAGGCGGCCGCCGCCGCCGTCAACATCGTCCCACCCGCCCTGGTGGCGCAGAGCCCCGAGGAGCTGCCCGGCAACAGCCGGCTGCAGATCCTGCGCCAGGTCAGCCTGATCGCGCCCCCTCCGCCCTCGGGGTGCCCGAGCGAGGCGGGCGCCGTGGGCCAGCCGGCCGTGCTGCTGACCACGCACGAACCCGCCGACGGAGCCACGCTGCACCAGACTCTGATCCCCGCGGCCGCCGCCAGGCCCCCGGAGGGCGCGGGCAGCCAGACTTTCATCGCCAGCTCAGGCATCGCGTGCGCGGACTTCGAAGGCCTGAACGCTCTCATCCAGGAGGGGGCCGCCGAAGTGACGGTGGTGAGCGATGGGGGGCAGGGCATCGCGGTGGCCGCCGCCGCCCCACCTATATTCTCCTCGTCGTCGTCGCAGCAGGAGCTGCCCAAACAGCCTTATTCCATCATCCAGGCGGCCGCGCACCCGGCCTTGCTCTGTCCGGCCGATTCCATACCAGATTAAAAACTAGACACCTAGTAGGGAAGGAAGAGAGGGATGGAACGAGAGAACGAGCAGAATTCGGGAAGAGATTCGCTCATGAGTCTTCCCTGAATCGTGACCCCCACCACCGCCGACACCGGAATAAATTGTATTTTCTACTGCTTACTGTAATTTTTTAAACACTGTAAAACTCTTAGACCACCTCTGAATCAGCATGCTAGCTAGGATGGGATCCTACACAGGAGGAGTTGGAGTTCAATGCGTTAAGTAGGGAATACATTTGTTTGTTCCCAGCTCTATCAAAGGTTCTGGCCCTTCGCATTCAGCTGGTGCGGTAATGTCACCTCCTAGACCCTCCCTGGCTCTGCTCTGAAACACCCCGCAGTCTGGGGTAATGTGTGTTCTACATAGAGACAAATAAACCTGCTGGCTTGAAGCCCCATTTTCTACATAATGTTACATGGATACTTGAAAGAAAAAATACTTCGTGCGAAGGAGCACAATGGTTTTCCTAATAAATTGATTCTTGGTTAAAGTAGACTGAATGTTAATGTTTCTTCACACTCAAGCAGTGATTTGGGGCTGGGGCTGTGAATCCTTATACAATTAAACAGAATGTGAAGCAGCAGGGCTGTTTGGTCCTCCCATAAATATTACATGAGCATCTGACCTCTGCGGTATGCAGTACTTAAAGCAATCTGTACAACTAAGTTTATTTGAAACTTAGGACAGATGATCCCAAGATAGTTCTCTTTAGATGCAACTAAGATTTTCTAGGAAACCAATTTTGGGGGTGTTAATATTTGTGCAGATCCAGGGTCCAATTAAGTGATTTGGAAAAGCACATTCCATTTTCCAAAACATAGACTGTATTGGCAGGGGAAAAAAGTCGAAACTGTTACTGTATTTTCAAGTGAAATGCTGTTGTGTCAGAAGGTGGCGCCAGAGAGCAACACAGGATCACCCATACAGTGTAACAGATTGTAAGAGCTCTGATTTCTGGCCCTAAAAAAGATTTACAAGGAAGGGTGATCACCGTTTTGAAAGAAGTGCGCTTAGACCGTTCTGCTGTTCGTTTTTCCAGAGTTGTCACTGCTGTTCTTCCATAATGTACAAAGTTATCTAACCAAACTTGTCATGCGGATCATCTCGCTTTTATATGACTAGGGATGGCTTCTGTTTGGTAAATAACAGGACAGAGAAAAACAAAACAATGCGATGTAGGAGACTCTATCCTTAGGCGACAGGCTCAAGTTACAGCGGTTTCCTCTCTTGCCCTCTCCCTTCACTCTTTCTTGCCAGTCCTAGGAATTGAACAGTTCTCATCACTTGCTGTGTTCCCTTTGCAGCAATTCCTTTGGTATCAAAAATGGAAATATGGGCCAACCAAATGGCTCAGCGGATTAAAGCACCTGCAAGCAGGTGCAGGGGACGGGGGTTCGATCCCCGGGCCTGCTGTGCCGGCCCTGCCCCCGGGGTGTGTTGAGATGGCAATTGAGACTGGGCATGGTGGCGCGCACCTGTAATCCCAGCTCTTGGGGGGGCTGTAAACAGGTGGATAACTACGAGTCCAATCTAGTAGTGAGACCCTAAACACCCTGTAGACCTTTCCCTAAAATACAAAAAGAAAAAGAATGGAAATATGGAGTTACTAACTCCGTATTTTTGATAAGAAGCAAACAATCCTTCGGTGTACAATGTTAGTAACTTTCAATAATTTAATCACTCTGGAATGACATAGTCGTGCCCCCCCATTCATGGTTTTGATTTTAGTTACCCATAGTCAACTGCAGCCCATAATACATTAAGTGGAAAATTCCAGAAATAAGTTTTGCATAACTTTACTATAGGATGTTGCTGTAATTGCCATATGTTATTCTTTACAGTGACCAATCTTACTGTGCCTAATTTATAAATTAAACTTTACTGTAAGTTTGTTTATATAAGTAAAATCAGTATATGTGTGGTTGGGTACTATATCTGCAGCTCAGGAATCCAAGGAATGTCTAGGAATGTCTCCCTCCCAGGATGGGGAGGAGGAACTCCTGCTTTGCTTGAGCCTATTTAGAAAATATGCAGCTATTGCATTTTAAGTGGCTACCTTGCGTCTCAGTTATTTCTGTCACTGCTGAGAGAAAATATCTGACACTCATGAGTTAAAGGAAGAAAGCTTTACTTCAACCTACAACTTCTAGAGGTTTCAGCTCATAGTTGACTGGTTCCAAGCCAGGGGGCCATGACAGAAGGGCATCACAGAGGAGAGACGGAGAGACAGTCCCTGGCAGGGTAGGCAGGAAGCAGCAACAAGCCTTCCTTTCCCTCTTACCCCATCCCAGCTACAAGCCCATTGGTTACACCCCAGGTGGGCCATCCCATCAGCATACTCAAAACTAGGCTAAACCAATCAGTGGACTCATTTAGTTATCAAATACCACCTTGAATCCACATTCTCGCTCCCAAGATCTGGCCACCTCTGAAAAGCCCTACATATGACAGCATTAGGCTTTCAGGGGACATGTATGTACAAGCTATTTGAGACAGAGTCTCGCTATTCAGTTCAGGCTGGCCTTGAACTCTACATAGTCCAGGCTGACAGACTTATAGCAACCCTCCTGCCTCCACCTCCCAGGTTCGGGAATTACAGGGATAGGCCACCATGGTGGCCAACAATGTGTATTATCATATCTGGTTTTTACTCTTTTTTTTTTTAATTTATTTATTTTTGTGTGTGTGGCCAGCTCAGCCCACCAGGGGGCGGGGCTGGCTGGCATGTGGTGCTGGGGGATTGAACCGCGGTCCCTGTGCTTTGCTAGGCTTGTTGTAAGTAGGTGCTTTAGACCACTGAGCCATCTCACCAGCTCCTGGTTTCTACTCTTACTTTTGATTTATTTGTACTTTTCTCCCAGAATGCCCCTTTCTTCAACTATTAAGAAGATTTTTACTAATTATAAATGTAATTTGTATTCAAGATGAGAACAATGAAATGTAGAATATCATTAAGAAAAATTGAAGTTACAAATAACTTTACTGTCCAGATCTAAACACTGTAAATATTTTCATGGAACTTCTTCCCAATCTTTTTCTATACTTACATATATATGTTTTCTGTTAGTTATAACAATGGGAGTGAGCTGAACACAGTGTTTTCTTTTTATGGTCTACATTTCTTCTTATATCTTTATACCTCTACCTAGCAGCTCTCTTATCTTATATCTATATGTATGGGTGGTTGGCGTTTTGTCTTCCTTTTTTTTTTAACAAACTGCAATAGCACAATAATCTTTACAGTAAAATATATGCAATTTTGTACAAAAACTAAGCCAATGACCTTCAGCACTGCCCTAACTTTACCTCACCCACCATAAGTAACGTTCAGCTCGCTGTATCCATATGAACATGTGTAGAAAGTTAGCGAAGAAATAGGGGTTTTCTGTTTATATGATAATTGTATCATATTGTGTACCCTTCTCTGCCACTTGCTTTTTTTTTTTTATTCCATTCATTGACAGTCTTGTGCGTCAGAACAACCTTTGTTTTTTTTTTCAGCCAAGTGTAGCAATGCGGATAGTCTCTGCCTTATCCACCATCTTCCTATTTGTGGATGTTCAGGTGCTTTGGTTTGCTTTGGTTTGCTTTGGTTTGGTTTTTGCCATTCCAAAGCTACAGTAAGCATCCCACATAATTCCTCAGATTTGATTTCTTCCTTTATCTGGAGCTTATATTCCTAAACATGAGTTTCTCTAGTTTGTACTTGTGCAGATTCAGAGTGGTTCTGAGAGCGGTTGTCCTAGCTGTAGGGGACCTGCACCATGAACGGTCTCACTAACAGTCTCCCAAGTTACATGGTCATCTGGGCTTTTTATTTTATATTTAATTTATATTAAATATTCATAAATAAATGCTTATATTTATTTATAGCTACATGTTTGCAGTGTCACCACATGTCACATGTCACCACAGCTGTGCCAGCATGTGCTGTCATCTGATTTCTTTTTTCTTTTCTTTTTTTCTTTTCTTTTTTTTTCCCCAGAACTGGGGATTGAACTCAGGCCCTTGCGCTTACCAGGCAAGCATTTATTCTACGGAGCCATCTCCCCAGACCTGATTATCTGATTTCTTGTGGATGACTGTTCTTTCCGGCGTAAGATGAAAAGCAATTGTTGGGGCAGTGGCGGTGGGAGCACGCGCCCTGTGCCTGTCACACGCTGCTCAGCTTTCTCCCCTCCTGAAACTTATTTTTTAACTGTCTTTGTGACGTAAACACAAGACGACCACCTTGTAGTGAGGCTGGGTGTGTTATGTCTTCATTTGTACCACTTGGGTTTTCTAAGAAAGCGTCTCCTTTCCCTGAGCTCTAATAGGAGGTTTTTCTTGAATAGTGTTTCTTCAATGTTCAATCAGATTTTATTGGCACGTTCTACTTACACATAATAATCACATTCATCAGAGGGAATTTGTGCCTGGCATAACTTGATTCTCTTTTTTCCTACTCCCCTCCCCCTCCGTCTAACTCCTTCTCCCCTCTCCCTTTATAAATGCTTTGTTTCTACTTTCTTTCCTCTCTTTTTTCTACTTTTTCCTTCTTTCTTTTTCCTCTCCCCCCTCCTTTGTTCCCCTCTCCATCTGAACACTTTCTTCCTCTTTTCCAGTGCCTATTGTGCATTTTGATCCTTATTTACGCTTTTGGTTTCTCACACCACAGGAGCAACGCTGTGTTTCTGCGCGTGCCCAATTTATTTTACTTGAGGGCAGTCACAATGTGCGTTCATCTCCCTAGAAATGTCTCAAGCTCTAATGTGTCCTTCTTTATGGCAGAGTAGTACTCCACTGTATTTTTGAAAAAAACTTTATCCATTCACCAGTTGATAAGCATTTAAGCTGTTTCCAAGATTTAGCTATTACAAGGGGTACCACTATAAACGTGGGAATGCATATATCTCTTTGGTATGATGTTTTTAAGTCTTTATGGAAGCTACCAAGAAGGGGAGTAGCTGGGTCTAATGGAACCTCTAGTCCCAGTTTTTTGAGGAACCTCCACACTGACTGCCACACAGTTGCACCAAGCTGCACTCCTACTAGCAGTGGAGAAGGGTTTCTCTTTCCTCACAGCCCTGCCAGCTTTGTTATTGGCTGGTTTTTGGGTAATAGCCACTCTTTCTGGGGGGACATGGAATCAGCCTTGTTTTAGTTTGCGTCTCTCCCGTGAACAGCAATGGTGACCCTTTTTTCACATATTTATTTGCTGTTTGCATTTCTTCATCTGCATCTGCAAAACCTGTCTTGATCTCAGATGACCTTTTTTTTTCTTTACTATTCTTTTTCGTGTGTGTGTGTGTGTGTGTGTGTGTGTGTGTGTGCAGAGTCTCACTATGCAGCTTGGACTCATAGTGATCATCCTGTTTTCTGCCTCCCTAGTGCTGGGATTACAGGCATGCGCCACCACACCCTGACTCCATTACTACTGAGTGTGCCCAGGGACAGGGCCAACATGGCATGAGTGCCAGGGATCTAACCCTAAGCAAGCACTTAGTCCACTGAGCTATCTCACCAGCCCTCAGATGCCCATTTAAAGATTGGGTCTTTAAATTTGAGGGGGTCTGACTTTTTGAGTTCTTTATATATTCTTGGTAGTAATCCTTTGTCTGAGGAACAGCTGGTAAGTGTTTCTCCCCTCTGTGGGTTTTCTCTTCACTCTGTTGGTGGTTTCGCTTGCTGTGCTAAAGCTTTTGAATGAGAGGAGATCCCAGTTGTCGATTCTTTGTGATTGCTCCTGTACAATCAGGGCCATATTCATTAAAGTCTTTGCCTACACCAGTATCTTCAAGAGTTCTACTTTCTCTGCCTTCCAGTAGATTTAATGTTTCTGTTTTAATACTTAGGTCTTGGATCTATTTTGATTTTAATTTAGTGTATGGTGAAAGACATGGGTCTAATTTTAATCATTGGCATGTGCAGAGTTTTTCCAGCACCATTTATTAAAAAGGCTTTCTTCCAATGAATGTGGAAGATAAAATGGTTGAATGTCTGGGATTGTGTTTGCATCTTCTAATCTGTTCCATTGATTCTTGGGTCAGTTTTGTTTCCGGGGGAAGGAGGGAGCAATACCATGCAGTTTTATCGTAGTAGCTTTGTTTTATAGTTTTTGCTAGTTTGTTTTTGGTTTGTGTTTAGTTTGTTTTGACTGTACCACAGTG